CCCACCACTGTATTCACCCCTATACCCACCACTCTCTTCACCCCTCTACCCACCTCAACCTCTGTATTTACCCCTGTACCCACCTCTGTATTCACCCCTGTACCCACCTCTGTATTCACTCCTGTATTTACCCCTGTACCCAACTCTGTATTCACCCCTGTACCCACCTCTGTATTCACTCCTGTACCCACAACTGTATTCACCCTTGTACCCACCTCTGCATTCACCCCTGTACCCACCTTTGTATTCACCCCTGCACCAACTTCTGTATTTTACCCCTGTACCCACCTCTGTATTCACCCCTGTACCCACCTCTGTATTCACCCCTGTACCCACATCTGTATTTACCCCTGTACCCACCACTGTATTCACCCCTGTACCCACCTCTGTATTCACCCCTGTACCCACCTCTGCAATCATCTCTATAATCACCCCTGCACTCAGCTCTGTATTCACCTCTGAACTTTCCCCTCTAACCTTAAACAGCTCTTACCAGTCGTACTCATACTTAAATCCCTTTACCGGCACCACTGCAGCTAAACGTAACGAGTCATACAATGATATCCGCCAGATTTCCTGTGTTTACCCGAGTCTGAAGGCGCTGGCACTGGGCAATTATTCCATCGGGGGACGTGAAGGCTCTTGGGCAGTGTCGACATTTAGGGACTCGGGTGGCTTGGGGATTTTTTTTTTAAAAATCATTTTTTTTGTTGTTGCTTTTTTTACGTTTCATGAATTATTATTATCTTTTAAAAAAAACAGACAAAACATACGTAGCCTATATATTTTGAGAAATCAGTGGATAGGCGACAGAACAGATGTTTAAAAAAACAATAATTAGAATATCAACAGAAAATGATTTCATTTCGGAAGAAAGATTAATAATATCATTTAAGTGACGTTTTTACATATATTTAAAAATTAATCTTCCATCAAACTAGACTGCACAAAAAAAAAAAACAAAAAAAAACCAACAACAAAAACGAGGAAAAAAACAACAACACGAAACAATATTAAAATAAAAGGCCAAGGGAGAGCACTATTGAATTTTATTTGAGGTTAAAGGAATAAAAAAACAAAAATTAGAATATCAAAAGAAAATGATTTAATTTAGAAAGAAAGATTAATAATATCATTTAAGTGAAGTTTTTAAATATATTTAAAAATTAATCTTCCATCAAACTAGACTGCAAAAAAAAAAAAACAAAAAAAAACCAACAACAAAAACGAGGAAAAAAACAACAACACGAAACAATATTAAAATAAAAGGCCAAGGGAGAGCACTATTGAATTTTATTTGAGGTTAAAGGAGAGGGCTTGTTTTGCTCTAAGTGCAGGAATACATTTATCTCTACGTGACCCTGGCCAGGTAGTTGATACCAGGTTAGTGTATAGCACTCGATGGAGGAGAAATCCGCAAACATTCAAATGCTGGACGGGGGATTAAAGACAAACAACAACAAAAAATTGTTTTTACATACCCAGACATTTTTAATCATCTCTCCCTTAGAATCTAAAACATGGGTGGGAAACCCTTTTATGGAATATCATTAAAAATACCTCACATACACCATTCAATGTGGTCTATGAATATGGTCTATAAATATGGTCTATGAATATGATCTATGAATATGGCCTATAAATATGGTCTATGAATATAGCCTATAAATATGGTCCATGAATATGGTCTATGAATATTGTCTATGAATATGGCCTATGAATATGGACTATAAATATGGTCTATGAATATGGTCTATGAATATGGTCTATGAATAATATGGTCTATGAATATGATCTATGAATATGGTCTATGAATATGGTCAATGAATATGGTCTATGAATATGGTCTATGAATATGGTCTATAAATATGGTCTATGAATTCTCATTCCGAGTTTTATTCGAAAATAAGCAGATGACTTATTTTAGATTCCACTGCGATCATTAGTCATGTTTTGACAAGTTCGCGCAGTGATACATCGCTTTCCAAAGGAGTTCTTTTCAATTTACGAAACCCTTAAACTTAATTGAGTCCTCGGAAAATCTTGCGGGTCGCATTGCACGTTTCAGTGGCCCGCGTGTGGCTAGCGGGTAGCCCACTCTTGTACTAGAAGGTCACTTTCACGTAGCCTCTAGTGGGTACATTTTGGCTTTAAAAACGAACATACAATTATAAAACATCACGTACTTATTATTAATTGTTTTTTTAAATAATTAAGTTTAGTTTAATTCGTAAAAAGAAAAATGCAAGTCATGTCATTGTATTCAAAGTTCCACACGCTTATCTAAATTGTTTTAACGGTTCTTAATTTTAATTATTTTATAATATATATTTTATAAAATCACTTTCAGAGCCGTTCTTAAGAGTTTGGGGGCCCTAAGCATGGAGCGTAGGTGGGGGGGGGGGGCCGGAAGGTGGGGGTCCGGGGGTGGATCTCCCTTGAGCTGAAGGGAAAACACCACCCACCACTGCGGCACCCCCATTCTGCGCCTATTTAAGATGTATGACGTCATATTTTATTTCCTATTACAATATCTATTTAATGACCTCTAACCTTTAGACATGTTTCCCTTAAAAATAACCTGGACCCTTGTAGTGAATAAGAAGTTACTTAATTATGACAATTTCGACTTGATGATTTTGCTTAGCAAAGCGCACCATATTCAGCGATGTGGTAAGGAGGGTTGTGGGGGCACCTTTTTCTTTATATTACAGGGTGGTATTTTTTACCAATGGCAGAGTGTTTTCGTTGAAGGGGTTCTGCCAAGGGCGGCACTAACTCTGGCAGCGCCACTGACTTTAATGATTGTTAGAGGTAAATATTAATGGGTCTATTATGAGAGAGTTTTAATTGTGTGATGAGTTTGCGACAATGTATTATGAGAGCGTCTTAATTGTGTGATGAATTTGTGACAATGCATTATGAGAGTGTCTTAATTGTGTGATGAATTTGTAACAATGTATAATGAGAGTGTCTTAATGGTGTGATGAATTGTGTGACCATGTATTATGAGAGTGTCTTAATTGCGTGATGAATTTGTGACAATGTATTATGAGAGTGTCTTAATTGTGTGATGAATTTTGTGACAATGTATTATGAGAGTGTCTTAATTGTGTGATGAATTTGTGACAATGTATTATGAGAGTGTCTTAATTGTGTGATGAATTTGTGACAATGTATAATGAGAGTGTCTTAATTGTGTGATGAATTTTGTGACAATGTATTATGAGAGTGTCTTAATTGTGTGATGAATTTGTGACAATGTATTATGAGAGTGTCTTAATTGTGTGATGAATTTGTGACAATGTATAATGAGAGTGTCTTAATTGTGTGATGAATTTGTGACAATGTATTATGAGAGTGTCTTAATTGTGTGACGAATTTTTTGATAATGTATTATGAGAGTGTCTTAATTGTGTGATGAATTCGTGGCCATTGCAGGTCGGCTTTCATTTACTTATGCAGTAGCCATGTGAACTTTCCCCGTCATGGGGTGACACCATATCACGGCTTATATGCCATGTTTTGGGTCCGTTAACCCCTGAAAGTTCGACTCGTGTATTGACTACACTGATCTGCTAGACACTTCAGACTTTATGGGCGAAGAGAAAAAAATGTCATGCCACATTATCACAGCAGGTCACTACGAAACATCTCTACCCTGTTGATCCCAGAACTTTATCTCCTAGCCAGGGACCACTCCTGAAAATGAGCACCACCAGAAGACCCACTTGAGGGCGCCCCCCCCCACCACCCCAACCCCATGTATGAGTGGTCCACTAAATATCGTTTTATGGCAGCCCCACACTCTACGACTACGGTTGGAATGGAGATGACCTCCCCTTGCTTGGAGCTATTTACATGGCCTTTAACTGCTATCCGTCCAGCAAGGGTCAGACTTATCTCCCCTCGGTCGAGTCCAGTCCTCTATTTAAAGACCATTTCGTTCTTGAAAGTTTTCACCCACACAATTCTATTCAATTTTACCCAGAGTAACGGACACAATTCTATTCAACTGTACCCAGAATAACGGACAAAATTCAACTGTACCCAGACTAACGGACACAATTCAATTTCAATAGTACTCTGGAATTGTGACACAATTCTCTTGATTGTACACTGACGATGGGCCCCCAACAGTTTAAAATGTTTACAAGGTGTCTACGACACTTCCACCTCCCCCCCCCCCCCATTCCCACTAAGTGTTTCTCATTCCTACACTGTGTTGCCATTTTTACACCATACAATCGAGTGTTGAGCTTCAGACCAGATGCCAACACTAGCAGGCTTATCAGTACGGCCAGTGGGACCATAAACCTCTCCACTAGACAAGGAGTGGTCTTAGAGGCGATTGTCCAGCACATTTTATTGCCCCTTGACAATGGGCTCATGCCCCTGATCCAGCCCTTGACTGCCAGCAGGGGCAGGTACTCAGGGTATTGGTGGGCGCAGAAGGGGAGGTAGTCGTGAGTTTATAAAATGGCAGGAGTGAATAGATATGAAGCGATAATTTGTGAACCCTTGAAGTTTGATGTGAAGTATATTAATTTAGGTAACTGACCATTAAAACACGGCAATCATTTCGTATATTAATGACCAACAAATTATGGTACTTTTCATTAAAAGGTTGGTCTTTACTTGTGACAGTGAATATCGCCATGGTTTATTAAGACTCACATTTTTAAAAAAAAACATTATGTTTAAACCATTGTGGGGTTGAGGGGGGGGGGGGCATTAGGGCCACAGTGCTAGGTAGGAATGGGACAGATAAAAGGAAAATTAGGGTGGAAATTGAATCATATTTTTAAAAAAAAAATTTTGGTTAAACCGTTTGGGGGGTGGGGGGGGGGGGGGGGCATTAGGGCCACAGTGCTAGGTAGGAATGGGTCAGATAAAAGGAAAATTAGGGTGGAAATTGAATCATTGAAAAAGTTAAAAAACTCATCCAAGGTGGGTAGCTCAAATAACATTTTAAAAAAGGTAGAGACTAAAACACGAGGTTTAGATAGAAGTCTGATGTCATTTATTTTTTTAAATTGTACAAGAAACAAATAATTTTATATGTACAATAATTAATAATATAATATATCATTCTGCAATCATAATAAATACATATAATAAATTAGTAGATCACATTTTAATTTTTCTTGAACAATTACTGGATTATAACAAACTGTATTCATTTATTCAATATAAGAATAATCCATGCACACAAGGGTGGGCAGAGGGGTCTGTAGTGGTGGGTGGGTTGGGTCCTTATGGAGCTAGGATGAGATGGGTCAAAAAGTGGATGAGTGGGTCACAACTAAAAGCAACAATAGATCCATCAATGATAAATGGTTTAAAAATTTCTGATGTCTGATGTCTCTCTCACTTTGAACAAAATACAGCTCAAGTCAAGGCTACCAATATTGCCTTGGTCATCTGGGTGTGCCAAGGAAAAACAGTAATAATACACAAGTCATGAATGTGCCATTCTGTGTCATATCAAATTGCTAATTTTTTAATTCAAGTAAATACTAATTGTCTAAACAGATAAATTTAGCTTAGCCCGAACTGTCTATAATGATATATTTAGCTTAGCCCTAAAATAATAAATAGGATGACATTCCTTGGAGATGGTCAATGGAAAGGCTTTTAATTGCACTGGCAATGTTGGAATTATGTACAGGAGAACATCCCTAGTGATATCAAATGGAAAGCTTATAATGCACTGGCAATGTTGGAATTATGTACAGGAGGACATCCCTAGTGATATCAAATGGAAAGCTTATAATGCACTAGCGATGTTTTTCTTAAACAGCTGGTGCGATATATGCCACTCATTTCCCCCTTTGTAGCCGAAGACTTCTGAGCAGAAGATGAAGAAAAGTCTCCAGTTGAACGTCTGCTGGGGGGCATCCTTCCCGTAAGCCTTGGCAAAGATCTCCTCCACCTTCTCCTTGCTGGCATCCATCTTGGCCAGCCAGGCCTCCAAGGTCTTGGAATAGTGCGTCCCGTTGACGACCCACCAGTCCACCAAGTTTATGTCATTCTGGGTGGAGCAGAACACAAGATGACATAGATTAAAAGGAACAAACTATCTGTCTACACAAGAATGGGTTTGTTTGTGTGTCCATTGGTCTGTGTTTGGTCCTATTGTCCTTTTGCATGAATTGAAATCAATTGATATTTCCTGTATTTCATGGTTTTTTTTTATGTTAACTCAGGAAGTCATTTAGAAAAAAATTATCTACTTTGTTTCAGTGTTGCTTAAATTTACCTGGTCCCTAATTGTCTACCCTGATAATTTTAGCTTAGCCCTAATTGTCCAAAAAGAGTAATTTAGGTTAGCCTTAATTGTCCAGAAAGATAATTTTAGCTTAGCCCTAATTGTCCAAAAAGAGTAATTTAGGTTAGCCTTAATTGTCCAGAAAGATAATTTTAGCTTAGCCCTAATTGTCCAAAAAGAGTAATTTAGGTTAGCCTTAATTGTCCAGAAAGATAATTTTAGCTTAGCCCTAATTGTCCAAAAAGAGTAATTTAGGTTAGCCTTAATTGTCCAGAAAGATAATTTTAGCTTAGCCCTAATTGTCCACACAAAAAATGTGTCCAAACTGAATCAAACCTAGCACTGGTTTTATATCCAGATAGTTTGAATATTTTGATCTAGATCAGGGTTCTCAAACTCAAATCATCCTGGGGTCGCAGGAGGCAGAGTCTGAGTGAGACTGGGCCGCATCAAGTATTCCACAAAAAAAGCGATTACAAATTCAATAAAGTAAAAATTTTACAATCTGCTCAACCTTTAGTAAGAACGAATAAAAACTTTAAGGGTTCTCAAGAACTAGACTTCACTTTCTTCCTCCTAATGCTTGTTGCCAGAGACCTGACAGTACAAGTGACCAAGCTGAAAGGTTCACACTGTCCCTCACTCGTAAACATTAGCAGCAATTTTAATAGGGATTCTTTGATACTGTGTCAGACTGCTATGATTTACACAATTATGATTGTGCCACTAACTGACTTTTTAAAATGTTAAATTTGTACATATAATATTCAAAGCGTGTTTTCTCAAAACCGTACTTTGCCAATGTTTGTCTCATAAAATGCTACAAATTAAAAAATTTTAGTCCGATTTTAAATGGTTTGTTCCATTATAATCAACGTCCAAATCTATAGAAAATAATAAAAATCAGAATTGGTGAGGTTGGACTGAAACCGTCGCGGAGGGTCACATTATAGATATAAGAATGGGGAAACTGTACGGGCCGCATTAACACTAAATTTGCTTTCACGTGGCGGGCATAAAAATCTTCTTGCGGGCTGCAAAAGGCCCGCGGGCCGCAAGAGTTTGAGACCCCTGATCTAGATTAAGAAGAGGAATATTTGAATATCGTAAAATTAAAATGATTAATTTCTTATAACTCAATGGCTAAATTTAAAAAAAAAAAGATTTTTTAAATTATAATTGTATCAGTCCAGTACAAGGACCACAGGTAACGCTGAGTATTTTCAGATTTTATAAATTAATATTAAATACAAATATAAAGATATAATTAGATCTTAATTAAACTAGTTAAACAAGAATTTTTAAGAATAGAAAATAGTTTTGATTCTTTTTGGCCTCATGGTTAAACCTAATTTGTCCGATTGTGCATTACTGAGTAGAGGACCCTACCTGAAAAAACAAGAACAGATCACTTGAAGGCATGGTCCCACCGGTGAAAAAATTCTTGGCCATCCATTCAGTGTCTGAGCCTGGCTTGACATCAAATGCATATGGCTGATGCCTATGGCAGAATATCTGGACAAAGAGCAATCCAGCTGGCTTCAACCACGAGGAGATACGTTGGAAAAGGGATCCATAATTTTTCATATGCTGGAATTGTAGAAATTTTTCAATAAAATGAAGGGGAATATTGATAACATCTTTGTATAGCCTAACTCATACAATAGCCTATGGGGGCTAACAGCTGCTGTAGAATCGATTCACCTGCTCTTAATGAATGGAATGGTGAAGGACTAAAATATATTTTAAAACACTGCTCAATACAAACACATTCCAAAAATTCCCAATTTTTACATACATTACAGAGTGCTTTAAATATTTTAATTTCTAGAATAGGTGATATCTTTTGTTAGGTAATAGTTACAACAGGAGAGACTTTATTAGGTATATGATTAGAATAGAAGAGAATTTGTTGTTAGCATAGGAGAGATTTTGTTGTTAGAAAAGGAGAGATTTTTTGCATGTTAGAATAGGAGATTTTTTTGTAGTTAGAATAAGAGATATTTTGTAGTTAAAATATGAGAGATTTTGTAAAGTAATAACAGATTGATATAATGTGAGTAAGAGCATAACATAAATAAAGTGTTCATCTTATCAAAGACTTATTTAGTGTTTTGCCATACATTTACAAACTATAGATGTAATGAATCTTATAGTGCTGGTGAATTAGGCTGAAAATTCTGATTTAAATGAATAAACGGTGAATAATATGATTTGTGATGCAAACCATGTGACTTCAATGACAAAATACTAATGATTTTTCATTGGTATGAATTGAAATGTGATTTTGTTATAAAAACTTTTAAATGTTGGTTATGGTGGCTCTCCAAGAAAAATATGCTGAAAATTACAAAAAAGTAGAGGAAATAAGTGAAGAGTTGACAAAAAAAACAATAACTAAAATAAGAAATCTTTACTGTTACCCTTGTCACATAGAAATGTTTCTCACCTCCAACATCTCTATTGATAAAATCCTATCAAAACGATCAGAAGTTGTGAAAGTGTTTGCGTCTGCTGTGATGGCTTCTAGTCGGCCAGCCGCTCCCATTTTCTCTGCCCTCTCCTGGATGAATGCCCTTTGCGTGGCCGAGTTGGAGACACACGTAACTCGACAGTTTTCATATTTTTCTAATATGTAGAGGGTAAGAGAACCCCATCCACATCCAAGGTCCTGTGAAATTGAATGATGTAAATTGAAAAATCAAAATTCTCAAGCTCCATAACTACCTTTATAAACCCAGAAATACATTTTTAAAGCTATTGGAAGATTGCAAATATATTAATATATATATATATATATATATATATATATAAAATATATATATATATATGAATTTTGAAATGTTCAAAAAATATAACACATTAATTTTGAGCTAATTTCATAAAAGCACAAATGTATATATCTTTTAAAATAAAAACATGGTTGATCTCGCAATCTAATTATCCATTTTAAAATTGATGTGTTCCAGTAGCACAAAAATACGTTTTTGGAGAGAGAATTATTTGAGTAAGTTAAATTACATCAACATTTTTTAATTTCTACAAAGGTATTTGCTTGTTTATTCACTTTAAAATGGGTAAATGATCTAGGAAGTATTTTCCCCACAGTACGAAAAATATAAAATTGTTCCCTGTATCAGCACACTACACATTCTGTCCTAATGTTATAAGTTACTGGTAGGTATGCCACATTTGTATAAAAGAGTGATTCACACTATCAGTGATATTAATATTACCATAACAGAATGACCATCTTCAAGCTTAGCCCTCTCACAGTACAGTGCCAGTGTGGCATCTTCCGCTGGAGAATTAAAGAGCGGAATCACCAAGTCAGTTTTGAAGGAGGAAAAAAATCTAACAGACATATGCAAAATGAAACTAAAATTCAGATTAGAGTTTTAAAAGAGAGTTAATACTAGTTTCTTTTTTTTTTTAAAGTTTATTTCAAGCAGATGATTTATTTATATTTAATGTAAATGAACATATCTATTATTTAACATACCCTCATCAAGAGTGGTAACTCCCTCAGGCCAGACACACCCACTGTATTTAAGTCTCTTTCCCAAAGCCTGTCAACAGAAAATTTTGTTTAGACTAATGAAAGCAAAAATTTTAATTAAGGAAATTCAAAACACAATATGCAGAAAGATATTTTGAGGTAAACAAATCTAATAAAAATTACAAGTATAAGTTGCTGAGGGATTGGGTAGTTCACCAAATAGGAATTTTTTTTCTTTTTTTAAGCAGCTCATTTATACATAGTGGTGGCTAATGATAAAATAATTTTTCTTTGCCTAAGGTCATGTGTTAAACGATAAGCAATGGACTTTAATGAAAATTATTGTGAGATGAAAGAGACATTTTTTTTACTTGTTAAGTGCTTTCTAGAACAAATAAAAAAAAATCAAAACATTTCTGTACTCCCCCCCCCCCCCTCAACCACCCTTTTACAAAAAAACAACAACACACAACTAGCTTATTGCAAATGCTTTTTAAACAGTGCAGCGAAATCTAATAAAACCTCCAAAAAAACACACTGTATTACAAATACAAAATACCATGAAATATTGAGTGGAAAGTGAAAACACTGACCCATTTCTACATACATCCCTATTCTGAATCTTTCTGAAGACAACACATTCTAAGAAACATTTAATTACCTGAAGAAAAAATTCGGTTGGGACTTCATAGTGTTGTTCATTGGCTTTGTCTGTGTGGGTTGCTATTGGAGCCACTCTTAAACTGTCAACAAATCTTTTCTTAAAGAAATGCTGCTTTTCAACATCCCCCCCACACTCAAGTTTTGTGATCCAGCTACCAAGGCTTTTGTTGACACCTTAAATAAAGTTAGGTACACAGCCAATGCTTCAGAGTTGTTAGGTAATAAACATTTAATTACTTTTCTCTTAAAGTCTAAACATTTTAAGATAATTCCATAGACTTCTGTTGAGGGCAGTTTTTTGTTGTTGTTATTGGGGCCCACAATATGTAATAAAAGTATGATGGAGGCCTGAAACTTAATTTATTCAAAGATTATTACTACTGAATAGGCTTACACACATTATGGAGTAATACTATTTGTGTGGAAACACAATAATAGATTAAGATTTGCCCAATACTAATTAAAAAAATTAGTCAACTTTTTATTTTTTATCAATAATTAATAGACCTGGGCCTAGATAATAGTTATTATTAAAGCCTAATGCACCAGGTGCCTGCAGATCCAAAGCCACAAGTGACTCTTTGAATGAATAGATGCATCTCTTCTCATGAAGCCATCCATAGATGTTGACACATGTCTTAGGGTCTAATGCTAGTTTTAAGAATTAGTGATGATATGTTATGAGGGTGTCTAAATTATTTAACAAATTTGTGATGGTCTAATGTTATTTATGAATGGTGGCCCCTATCATATTAAAAAAAAAAATAATTATATTGCCATCCCACTTAAATGTAAATTTTTCAAGATCATGTTTAATTTATCAGCTATTTAAATGCACTGCTTCGGCACTGTATCTGCATGCTTATTGTATGAGGTGACAATTATTTTCAAATTTAAAAAAACACAACATTTTAATATTTTAAAAATAAAACAAGGACATTAAATTCTTTAGGAACAACAAATACTTAAGTATGGGGAATTCATTTGTAAAAATATTTTCTTTATACTTATTTGGATGAATTATATATATTTTTGTTTTATTTATTTATGCCTGGAAATCAGATGTACTCAATCAAAAAGTTTAAAAAAACATTATTGTACTGGTAAAACAGTACAAATTGAGACCAAAATAATAATAATGAATATACCCATTTATTTTCATTTCTCAATTTTAAGCATCAGAAGAAAAATATCATTCCAACTAACAATGTGCTTATTATCTTTTTCAATCTGCCCCTTCCTGATGCTTAAATATTTTCAAAACCCCTGCCTATGGCACCTACATTTTTAATATGATATATTCACTCAAAAATGTTTGCAGAGCCATTTAGCCATGGTTCAATAATTACTATTATTGTGTAGCCTGGCCTACGTCTGCTTTAATACTATTAAACTTAAACAAGTTAGTAATGGTAAGTCTAGGTCTTGATTAGGTCCAGGGCCACGCTGAGGAAAAATGGTGCCTGGGGCGAAGGCTGAAAATGCCTCCCCTCAAAAGAAAAGATTGCAAACTGGGCCCTGGGGCACACCTACCAGTAAAAAATATGAAAATTTATGATAAAGTTAAGGGCCCTGGGGCACACCCACCAGTAAAAAATATGAAAATTTATGATAAAGTTATGGACCCTGGGGCACACCCACCAGTAAAAAATATGAAAATATAAAAAAATATGATAAAGTTATGTGCCCTGTGACAGTGTGAAGTACGTGGAATTTTCTTGTTAAATTTAATATCAAGATGCTAAAAAAACGATTTTGGCACCTCCTGATGTTGGCAACAGGAATCAAGTTCCCCCCATGGCCCCTCCCCCCACAGGCCAACACATATTCATATTAATTTACATAATCATAATACTAATACAATGCTACTCAGCCTCGGTATTGTTTAATAAATGATTTGATTTAAATGGAATAAAATTTAAAGAAGTTAAAACTAGATAAAGAAAGACAGTTTCGATGGGTACAGAGAGTTAATAATTAAATATTACAAAAATGCTTAGGCTACAACTACAACTTAGACTTAGCCCCTTACTCAGGCTTACTGCCCTTAGTGGCCTTAGATTAGAATTGGATTAGGCTTACCAAAAATAATAATATAATAGCAATATGCTTAATAAGCTATAGTCTACTATGAATACCTTCCCTTAATTCCTTATCTGTCATTTTTGCAGTGATTCGTAGTCTTTTATTGAAACTGCTATAAATTCAAACAGCGTTCAAACTACAACTTGTCATTCAGTCATAGTCTCATAAAGGAAAGGTGTAAATACTGTAAAAGTTCAAAGACCAAAGGCCAGCGGAAGTTGTTTACAGTCATTACAAATAAAATGCTAAATTCGCTTTATTATAATTTAGTTCCCAATATTTTTTTAAAATTATTTAAATTTATAAAGAGATTTATTTTTTATTTTTTGTGTTGTGTATTGGGGGGGGGGTGGGAGGAGGGAGATGGGGGGAGCATGTTACCTTCTTTAGATTAAATCAATTTTTTGGACCACTCTCCGCAGCAAATTAAAGAAATCCTTGAAGTTCATCAGAAACAATAGAGATCTATAATTTTAAAAATAATTTATTATAAAACTCTGTTGTTATTAGTCTATAAGTCATAAGAAACATACCTTTTTACATTTTTTTTTCATTATTACTTTCATTATTTTTATTGTTTGGCTAACATTCATATAATACGCCTACATTTTTTAACATTGTTTTTTAATTTTTTATATTTTTTTATAGTGTCCTACTGGTTTGGTCGCCAGCTGAAACGATAAAAATTAAAAATAATTCTTCCCTCAAAAAAAGAATGTTCATTTTAATCAGCTTCTTGGAGAAAAAAATGTGAATAATATCATCATAGGCTACTATATTTAATTTATAATCGTCTTTCTTACTGTATCAAATTATATTAATATGATGGGATCGAGTTCACGAGACAATTGGTTTCTATAAAATGGGAGTCGTGTATCGCTTTATTATTATAAAATGGGAGTCGCGTGTCACTTTATTTCTATAAAATGGGAGTCACGTGTCAGTTTGCTTCTATAAAATGGGAGTGACGTGTCACTTTGCTTCTATAAAATGGGGGTCGCATGTTACTTTATTTCTATTAAATGTGAGTCGCGTGTCCCTTTATTTCTATAATATCTGGTTGCTGGCAGTGGTCTAGGAAAGAGGATTCTGATACCCTTGCCTTAGACGTTCTACGTTTGATCTGTTGCCTTGGTTATGCCAGACCTACCAAACGTCAACACTGCCACTGTCGGCAAATAGACTTGAACGTTTGCTGAATAGCTTCGACATCCTACCATTGCAAAATATTACCCCAAAAATGTTGCCGGCCCCTATGCCACAGCTCTGTGAGTTGACGCTCTTAAAATATGGACGCGAAAGTCGTCATCGGTGCGTCCATACCCAGTCTTCAACTTCCAAAACTTATCATAATAGTGCTAATACTCTGCTCATGACCAACCCTTCAAAACACAAAGCCTGGAAAGAGAAAGAACAGCGTGGCATTTACATAATCTTCAAGTGATTCTTAGGAGCTATGCTTTAACCGGCGAATGATTAAAAATTAAGACAAAACTAGATACATGTATAGCTCTGGCTCAGAGGTCAACGCCACTGTCTGGCTCAGAGGTCAAAGCCACTGTCTGGCTCAGAGGTCAACGCCACTGTCTGGCTCAGAGGTCAACGCCACTGTCTGGCTCAGAGGTCAACGCCACTGTCTGGCTCAGAGGCCAACGCCACTGCCTAATACTTTGGCCTACTATTTAAATATTGTTTTTTTTTTTTAATGCGTTGCTCACTATTGGCCTTTCAAAGGTTTTGAACAACTCTGCCAGTGTGAAGCTAGCGATGCTCAGCGAGAGCAAGGTAAAATCGTCGATAGTTCAAACACGGCTTGTGCCATCGGCATATTTGTAAGTATTTTCTTCATTTTTTTGAAAAACAAAAACATACTACTATTATTAGTGCTATTTCTATATTATCATTTCCATTCAAACCCACACTCCACTCTACGAGTGACTTCTTTTTAAAAAAAAAATCCATTTAATATTTTATAATTTTCAGTCTTTGAACAAAACACAGCACATTCCATCTCTCAAATACAAAGCGCAACACATTCCATCTCTCAAATACAAGGCACAGCACATTCCATCTTTCAAATACAAGGCACAACACATTCCATCTTTCAAATACAAAGCACAACACATTACATCTCTCAAATACAAAGCACAACACATTCCATCTCTCAAATACGAACACAACACATTCCATCTTTCAAATACAAAACACAACACATTCCAGCTCTTAAATACAAAGCACAAGACATTACATCTCTCAAATACAAAGAAAACACATGTCTCAAATACAAAACACAACACATTACATCTCTAAAATACAAAGCACAACATATTCCAGCCCTCAAATACAAAGCACAACACATGCCCTCCCTCAAATACAAAACACAACACATTCCATCTCTCAAATACAGCTATTTTGTTTCTTGGCTAGGCCTATATGAAGAAAACCTAATACACCGCCCATCACTCTGTTCACAAAATTTCAAATGTTAAAATCATAAAAATGAGGTCTTTATCTGGTTCTTCGTCGAACATAGTTACTAAATACGTTAGCAAAATTGTTAAACATATTAGTTAACAAAGTAAACAATTTTGGTAAACTTACTAGTTAACAAAGTAAACAATATTGGTAAACTTATTAGTTAACAAAGTAAACAATTTTGGTAAACTTATTAGTTTACAAAGTAAACAATATTGGTAAACTGATTAGCTAACAAAGTAAACACTTTTGGTAAACTTATTAATTAATAAAGTAAACCATAACAGTTACAGCGGCTATAAAAAGCTGTTAAAATTGTTAGAAAGGGGTGGGGGTGGAGGCACCCCAAAACCCATTAAAAAATTAACAACACAAAGACATTAAATATTTCATAGAATTAATTTCCACCACCACAAAAATAATTTTAAAAGTCGCCCTTTTGTCAGTGTTGCCTATGACAATGTCAGGGCATTCTGAGCAAAACCTGGGTTCAGGCTCTGATAGAAACCTCTGCCATTTCACAACGTGCAAAATAATCATGTACTCGTACACACCATTCAGTAGTAAGTATACTGATGCCAATGCAAAGGTACATGAATAATTTGATCACACTTTTTTTGCAGACTTCATAGCACACAGAGCCATTTTTCACAATTTTTTTAAATCTGTCTCCTTCAATGTGGAAGATGCCCCCACCTCCTTCGCTTCAAATGGAGCTGATTGATCGACAGTGTAATTTGAACTCAAGGCTAAGTTCAGTGGGGTAAATGGTAAAACATACAAGCATGGACAATTTATGAGAGCATTGCCTTTCACCATCCCAGTGATTTCAAGGTTTTTCAAGCGGATCATGTGCCTTTTTTGGGCATACCTATCAGTGAGAAAAGCTATGAACAAGTCCACTATGAACATGTCAAAGTTCAGGGTCAAACGTACTGATGAATATTTTCAATCTATACTGAGGGTCTCAGGTGCTACCTCAGTCAAGCCAAATGGGCAACATGGAATTGAAGGAAGAAAGTGAAGCCTAGCTCTTGAGAACCCTGAATGTTTTTTATCAGCTATTAATAAAGGTTAACAGTTGTAACAGTTGTAACAGTTGAAACAGTTGTAACAGTTGTAATAGTTGTAACAGTTGTAACAGTTGAAACAGTTGTAACAGTTGTAACAGTTGTAACAGTTGTAACAGTTGTAACAGTTGTAACAGTTGTAACAGTTGTAACAGTTGTAACAGTTGTAACAGTTGTAACAGTTGTAACAGTTGTAACAGTTGTAATTTATGGAATCTGTAATCGCTTTTTTTGTGAAATACTTGGTGCGGTCCAGTCTCACTCAGACTCTACTGCCTGCAGCCCCCGGATGATTTGAGTTTGAGACCCCTGCTCTAGGCACACGCAGGGTCTTTCCACAGGCTGCACACCACAAGTAAAAACATGCTCAATTAACAAACTAAATAACATAACATAAGTTATAATTGCTTGTATTGGTGAAAGCCAAAGGTATTATTGTGCAGTGCATCGTTCTATATTAGCTCTCCTTTTTGGACACATTGCTGCTATTGAAGCTTTTGACAGCTTGTCCGCCATGTTTATTATGTACCTTCAGATCTTGCGATTTTCTTCCTCTTGGAGATATTTTGCGCGGCACACCTGACATCAACCTACGACATACTAACAGTGCGCACACCGGCTGCGGAGCTCTGATCTAGTGTGTGCGACATTTTGACATCCAGACCTAAACAAAAGGCATTTAGGCCCAGCGAATGACATGACATGTGTTGAGCTCAGATCGATAATATGATACTTTCTTCTTTTCTTTTTGGTGGTGACTAAGCAAATGTTCAGCTTACACACAGCTGTCACTGTGTACACTATAACACAGGCTAAAAATAACGATACGGCTTATTCTTATTTTGGCTTTAACGAGTGACGTAACTATATACCCCTATAATTTAAAAAAAAGTGGCTGGGCCAAGAATGAAGTATTGAAAAAACATCTTCATTGATTCTTTTCATTTTCTTAATGAAAAAAAAATATGGTTCTTATGGAGCAGCCCTTTGTTCCTTTGTGTCCTTGCTGTCACTTACATTGCTGTACATTCTACTCTTATGGAGGAGCCCATGTTCTTTTGTGTCCTTGCTGTCACTTACATTGCTGTACATTCTACTCTTATGGAGGAGCCCATGTTCCTTTGTGTCCTTGCTGTCACTTACATTGCTGTACATTCTACTCTTATGGAGCAGCCCTATGTTGCTTTGTGTCCTTGCTGTCACTTACATTGCTGTACATTCTACTCTTATGGAGGAGCCCATGTTCCTTTGTGTCCTTGCTGTCACTTACATTGCTGTACATTCTACTCTTATGGAGCAGCCCTATGTTGCTTTGTGTCCTTGCTGTCACTTACATTGCTGTACATTCTACTCTTATGGAGCAGCCCTATGTTGCTTTGTGTCCTTGCTGTCACTTACATTGCTGTACATTCTACTCTTATGGAGCAGCCCTATGTTGCTTTGTGTCCTTGCTGTCACTTACATTGCTGTACATTCTACTCTTATGGAGCAGCCCTATGTTGCTTTGTGTCCTTGCTGTCACTTACATTGCTGTACATTCTACTCTTATGGAGCAGCCCTATGTTGCTTTGTGTCCTTGCTGTCACTTACATTGCTGTACATTCTACTCTTATGGAGCAGCCCTATGTTGCTTTGTGTCCTTGCTGTCACTTACATTGCTGTACATTC